TTTCGCCAGCCGCGAGTTTGTGGGCAACGAAGCAGATTAGAGCAGCAGCGGCGAAATAGAAGGCTTCTTCATTTGCGATCCCGACTCTTATTTTCATTAGCAGCGACTTCTGTCAAGTATTCCGTCGCCAGCGACCTTCCTCGCCTTCTTCGGTTCGAAGAAGAAAAGCGTCTGCTTCATTCACCAAGACGATCTTCTTCACGCGAAAGGGGCAGGGTTCTCCGGAAATTTTTTTTTTAAAATTCCCGCTCTGATACCTTAAAAACAGAAATTGAAGAGAAAATTCATTTATGCTTTTAGATTCAATTCAAGGTGTCTTTACATATAGGAGTCCCTCCTCCTTAGATAAGGAAACTAACTAAATAAGTTTCAATAATTTCTTATTACATTACAAGACTAATTAAGCAAGATTTGGTACAGATATCACATAATATAAATAAGGAGAATAAAATCTGTATAAGAGGAAAGACAATAAATATTATAATTTGAATTAGATCTTTCAACAATCAATATATATATATATATATATATTATCATAGAATAATCACATTGATATTTAGTTTATTTCACCTTATCGATACTGAAATTAATAGGGGATGGGCAACGACAGAAGGCATGCGGGGTCGAGGGGACATTGTGGAAAGTGCTTCACGTGAAGATATTTTCCACGTGCTTGTGGAGGAAAACAGCGTTATGTAAATTCTTATTGGTCATCCTTAGCCGGTGCTGTAGCTCAGCAATGAGAAGTAAATATGTGAAATCGGTCGATATGGTAAATCTGAATTTACTTCACAAAAAAGGTGAAACAGGCACGGAATGGGAGAGAGTTGGATTTAGTTTTTTTTCTTTTTTGGTATTTGGCTGGATTTAAATGAAATCGATGGCTAAATCATGTAAAAAATGTGCTGCCAAACACGTCCTTACGGTGTCGATGGTGTCTGCGTTTCTAAATTTGGTATTTTGGCATAGTTGAAAAAATAGTGTATTTATTAATAATGTTGCACATACAAACCAGTTAGGCTATCATTACACTTATGGAGCATGAATTTTGATAGAAGTTGTGGTTTTCAAACTATCTTATTTCATTCACATTAGAAATTTTTTAGGATCCACTTCAAGGCCATTGAAATGCCATTTTTGTAAGCATCGAGTCAAGTGAATAAATTTAAGTGAACCAACTAAGAAATCATGTCATTGTTCTCATGCATAAAGCAAGTACTTAAATTATGTATGAAAAGTTTATGAAACATTTGGAGGGAAAAACGATCTTCAATTTCTACATTCTAATGATTAAAGCTAGCATTTACTCCTCACAAAAATATTGGGTCCATGATCATTTAATTCTAATATTGTTAAAACACCTTAATATGCAAAATAGCAAATGATCAATGGTATCACTCTAGATCCCACATTGTGTATATTGGATTTTAATAAAAAGGACCATGATGTCCAATCTAAGAATCTATGAGAACCAATGTATATACACATTCATATTGAATATTCCAAAAGAAAGAAGTTTGGGACATAGGGATTTCCAAAGCAAAACTTACCAACAACAAAGGTTTGTTTTCTACTCACATTATAATCAATGCCAATAGTGGCCATCAACTATGCCCAAACAAAATTAACATTTAACAACACTGCATAATAATATTTACTTCTCAAGTCTATTATTACAACTTTTTGAATAATACTAGCATTCATGGCTGGCTAAAATAGTATACATAATGGCATGTACTACAACACAAGTAATATAGAAGTAAATAGAGTATCATTCTCATAATGAATTAGTTGTAAAATTTTAAGGAAAACTAAATATTAATTAAAAATTTTCCATCACTTTTATCTAACAACTCATATTTTATGATATTTGAAAAGATAGATTTTAAAAGCTAAGCTACTCATTTTTTCTTTTGAAATAGAGAGACTACTTTGGACATAAGATTTTCCTAAATTGAATCTGTGAAATGTTTCGCTAAAGATTCCACCCTAAATATGTTGTTAATCAATAACATAAATGCCTCCTAGTCTCCATTGATAATTATGAAACCTAATCACTAGCTAAATAAGATTATGTTATATTATATAATTGAGTGACAACGTTAAATATTTTTCTTCTCAGATTTTAAATCTTAATATCATATGTGTCTATATACTTGAAAAGATATTTATTTCACCGAATTTGTTCTACTATGACTCTTCGGATGCTTATAGATCACACCAAGTTTTAAGATTGCATTTGCTTAATACATAACTAAATTAAGAATGAAGCAACAAAAAAAAAAAAAAAACTACACAGCTTTATTCATACATCAACACACAAATGATACAAGAAAGTAAAAATTCACAACAAAACCAGATGAATACAATTAGTTCTTGTTCATGGAAGAGAAAACAAAGATGCTAAACTTAAACATTATAAAACTTGACTACAAAAAATAAGGTAAGGAAAGAATCAATATTTATAATTCCTCTTATTCCTTGCACTCTTAGTGCAAACTTCTCTTTAAGAATCCACTTTCTCTTCTCCATATTTGCTTTCACTTCACTCTCCACTTAGGCACACCACACTTACATTATACTAACTGAGCATTATGTTGCTTGAAAGATAGCACTCAGACACGTAGCTTAAGCGTTGAAGCACTAATCTCACTATCTTTCCAATATAATTTAGGCTTCTTTTAATGTTGAAACGCTCCACCATGTGCTCTAAGGTGTCAAACATTGTATCTTGATTCATCAAATCTTCCCTTCCTTGACATCACAATCCTATAAATTAAAGCTTAAGCACAGAGCTATCATATTTTTGGATATTTTCTTTAACATCTTCATCACACCATTTTTTTTAGCTTTGTAGAAGTTTTATTTCAAATATTTAAAAAAAACAAATTAATGATAATAAATTCTTAAATAAACTAATGTTTTTAATATTTTTATTATTATATAACTAACTAATAACACTCAATAAATCACCACCATCAACCATCAAAGAATGTAGATGTCAACAATCAATAGCCACGTATCATTGGTTAATGTCAATTTCCATTACCTTGTCTCTATTCTTGTAGATTCAAAAAAATTAGAGTTTAAAATCAAGAAGGGATAATCAAAAAGGATAATTAGTATAATTGATGGGGGAGGATAACATTTTAGGGAGATTAAGCAATGAAGATTAAAGGATTTAGTTCTTTACTTGAATTCCTAAGATAGTGTATTGGTGTTTTTAGCGAAATGATGAGGAGGATGGGTATAGTAATTGAATTGTCACAATTAGACTTGATTGGGTTGATTTTAGTTGGTATGAAATGTCACTTTTGGAAGGGAGCATTTTTTGTGGTAAATAGCACCATATTCAAATGGATAATTTGGTTTGTTTGTGTCATTATTATTTAATTATACAATTGGATTTAGCGGATTTAGCATGAGTGTTGAGGAGTGCAAAAGAAGAGAATATCTTATTATTACCAAGGTCAGCCATGAGTTTTAAAAGGAACTTTAGAGGAGGTTTGAGGTTTAGTTGCATGGTTGCTTATCTTAAAAATGCTAAGGATATAGATAAAGGTGTGAAAAAAATAATTAGGACTAGGAGTTCATATGAATATAGAGCAAGATTAAAAGTAGATTAGGAATAGCAATTTTATTTTATTAAAGAAACAAAGATGCTTGAAGCACCAAGCAACAAACTAAAGAACACAATAATTATTCAACCATTTTTTTAAAAAATAAATTTGTAAACAAATTCAATCAATATTTATAAGCAGTATAAATCTCTTGAAGGAAAGTTTTTGTAGGAAAAAAATTCAGTGAAGAAGAAAGGGAAATCAAGCTTTTGTGTGTGTGTATAAATATCTATATCTATATAAATATCTTTTTTTTAATCTATAGCGCTTTTGTGTGTGTGTATAAATATCTATATCTATATCTATATCTATATAAATATCTGTATCTATGTATATCTATATATATCTATATATATCTATATATATATATGTAATGGTGTGTGTTACAATATGACTATTCTGGAATATTATATATATATATATGTATATGTATATGTATATGTATTGGTGTGTGTTACAATATGACTACTGTGGAATATATATAAACTTGTTTCCTTTAGCTATCTTAGAATTTAATAATTTCCTCTCTTCCCAAATGTATAATGATCATTTTTGCTTTTTTATTACAGCTTACTTCCATGTTGCGTGGGTGATAGATAAGTTTGGCTTGCTTCACCTAATCAACCAGCAAAGTTAGGTAAGCATCCCTTAAAACACCATCACATTTGTACACTTGCAAAACCGCTAAATATGTAAATGCTATGACAAGCTTATGTTTTCTTTCAATCTTCCCGCCGGCCGTCAACCAATGTCTTTTTCCACCTGCAAAACTCAATAGGACTGCAATTAAAAATCATTTCTTTTTTCGCTCATTCTACGTGAAATTAAATCCTTTCTTTTTTTTTACTTTAAGTTCTTTTTCTGAAGTTCTGAAAATAATGATTTTTATAATTTACATCCACCAAAATGCAAACTTTAGCAAAATTCATCACATTACCAAAAAGTGTATCATTTGTTCAATTAGCCAAATAACACCTAATAACAAGCTTTCTGTGCAAGGCACCGTAACCTTTTATTTGATGCATGTATATCGAATATTGCAGAACTTAAATTGATGGCCGATTAAGTGATATGATTCCCACCCACCAAAAAGTCCAGCCCATCATCCAATCCCCTCGATTTCATCAGAATACGTATTGTCCTCTGCAATCAGCTTTTGTCTACAGCGATTTTATTCATGATTCCCTGCCAAACAATATAGCAAATAATTCCCTGATATTTTTGGAGATATTAGCTCTCAAATTCTATATGTTTAAAAGTGTTTTTCAGGCCTGCTGATAAATATATACAAAAAAAAAAAAAATTTTGCATTAATTGTTTTTCATGTAATATAATTATTCTAACGTTGTTTGTTAACATCTCAATCAACACATGTAGACATATCTAGGAAGGCCCAAATTTAGCCAACTGATGAGAATCACCTTTGTCTCTAAAGATGTGGATTCCAACCTATATAAACAGCCATTGTCCCCTCCCATTCACTCCACTGCAGAAGCTTCTGCCTCTCCACAAATCTTCCATCTCAATTTACTCTGTTTACTTGCCATACTTTGCTGTTCATATTCTTTGCAAGGAGCTATAATAAATAAAGATGTCTGGAGTTTGGAAGTTCAAAAATGGGGTGGTGAGGCTGGTGGAGAATCCTGCAAACGAGCAATCCTCAACAATGAAACGCAAAGCTCTGCTTCACGTTCCCACAAACGAAGTAATAAGCTCCTACACTTCGCTTGAGCGCAAGCTCATCAGCCTTGGTTGGGAACGCTACTATGAAGATCCTGACCTCCTCCAATTCCACAAGCGCTCCTCCATCGATTTAATATCTCTTCCTCGTGAGTTCAGCCGCTTCAAATCGATGCATATGTATGATATTGTCCTAAAGAATCGTGATTGGTTTCGAGTGATTGATGTATAGGTTATGTGTGCAGTATGAATCAGAGGAGTACATATCGTTTCTTTGTTGATGCTGATTGTTATCTATATTACTGGTGCTTTCTTTGTTTGTGCTATTTGATTCCATCATGATTGTGCATGCTTATCAGTTTTTCAAACATGTAGTTTATATATGTTGTGTTTGTGGTTTTATTTTATTATTTTGCCAGTTCGGTTAGTATGTTGGGGATTGGAGATAGAGATGCATGTATCTCGTGTTTGTAACTTGTGCTTTCATCTTATATTTAATAATAGTATTTGTCCCTCTTTCTATTCATTGATGTACCCTGTCTGCTTCCTTGTTGAATTTGATTTTAACTATATATAATTATGAGAAAAGCACGGTTAATGCAGCAAATAAAATTTCAGTACTGAATACGATTCTTATATTGATGTTTTCGTATATCCATCTACAAGCCCTGACGAGGGAAATATGTGTTCTGATGAAACATTCTTACGTGCAACATTCCTAGCCCAATTGCATGTTGGACCTCAAGGGCTTTGAACCACACCTAATAATTTTCCCAAGGGCTTCATACGTAGCACGTTTGCATGATACAATAGTGTATGTGTGTCTATATATATATGTATTAAAAGAAATGACCTGAGGTTATTATATGAGGCCGGTTATTCCCGATGCGCCTAATAATTCGAGCACCACACCCTTCATCTGGGGTAATCGAACCCCAAATCATAGGGGACTTACAACTGACAAACAGATGCTTGACAACTAATCTGAATACACGACACACACATACACACACATATAGATGAGCATTTATGACTCGATTTGGATGTAGTTTAGAAGACACACATAAGTTTTACCACTAAATTAGTGGGTAATTAAATTGGGACATATTGCTTAAAAGAACAAATATCAAGAAGGTTATATAAATTCAGACAATCTTGTCAGCAGAAGCGAAGCGATCATGCATTTCATGTAAAACTGATATAATAATTATTTGGGCTCAAAATTCGTGCCTGGAGAAGCAAACTCACAGGGTTGGAACTACTGGAAGCTACTCTCTATTTTATATTTTACTCGGAGCGTAGGATAAGATAAGCATGACGTATTAATTATGTCAGATGTGTATACAAAGCCGACCAATAGGAGGAGAGGTGACTCTTAGCCCATCGAGGCTGGCGGGCCAGGCATCACGTGAAGAGGTATCTTCCTGTGTTTTCGGAACGACACGTGGCATTCATATGAATCATGCTGATGACGAATCTATAACAATTGCCAGCCCACGAGCTCCTGGCCCAACCCGTGTATGACCATTCTGGAGCACGTGTGGTGGCAGGGTAAGGTTTTATTCCGCAGTTACCCTTAGTCTAGGTACGAGCTGCCTGCTTAAAACTTCGAGCCTATCACATCCAGAAAAAGTGAATAATCAAACTCAAATCTATCTCGCAAGCTTATCACCTTAACAAAATCTATAGATTTTAACTGCAAGCCATGGGAACGGTTGGCTCCGGATGGGTCAGGGGGCCATGCGGCCCGCCCCCTCTTTCTTCCCTCTTTAAAATTGGATTTTTTATAAGAGTGAATTTAGCTCGAAGATCGTTAATCTAAGATTGATTTGAATTTTAGCTCGTATCGAGATTGACTTGAAATAATCAAAGCCAAACTGCGAGCCAAAATTTTGGATCGATTTTTTTTCGAGCCGACATAAGGTGAGCTCAAAATTATATCATTAACAACGTATGACTGTAAATTTAATAAATTTAGCTCAAAGATAGTTAATTGCTCGAAAATTAATTCAAACTTTAGCACGAATCTAGATCGGATCGAAAACGAGCTGGGCTACGAGCCAAAATTTTGGATCGAATTTTTTTCGAACCGATTTTGATCCAACCGCGGCTCGGCTCGAAATCATATCGTTAACAACCCTATAGAGAAGGGCAATTTGACTTCTTACCCTCACGAAATATCAATTTTGTCTCTTCTGAAATATCATTTTATCCTTCATTACCATAGCCCCTCTTACATTAGGTCTTAAGAGACAATTTGCTCCCCTAAAAAAAAAAAAAAACTGATTCCACCTTACATTAGGTCTTAAGAGACAATTTGCTCCCCTACAAAAAAAAGACTGATTCCATCCCTTGCCACATGTCTCCTCCCTCTCCCACATTGAAATGTCCAAATATTCTTTGATTCATGCAATTGATGTTGCCATCATCGCCATGTTGTCAAATCACGTTAAAATAGACCTCCTCCATGCTCTTGTCATCACTCTCCTACTCAACAAGCACACTTAATAGGTGTCCTTTCATTGATGGGTTGCTCATAAATGCTTCCAACTCGTCGACAAAATTATTCAGTGTAGCAAAGCTCAGTTTGTAGTTCATTGGGCCTAACAAACCTAATGAGCCTGATTGTTCCAAGTAACTCAACTTGTAGGAAAATTTTGAATAGTCCTGTTTAAGTCAAGTATGGGTTAAACTTGCCTTAGTTACACCTTTATTTTTTTTATGACTCAACACTATTAAAAAAGATAAATTATCATAAAGAGCAACAATGCATCATATCATTTTCTTGATCATCATAAAGAATATTCAACGTTCAATTGTATAGCCTAAGTCGTTCCACAGAATAAATGTTGCAGAACAGAACAAGCATGCATGCGCCTACAATTTTATCTTAAACGACAAAGCCTGTTGCTATAACGAAAAATACAAACAAAAACCAAAAAATTGGAGAAAAAAGATGAAATCCACCATTTTAATCTTTTCATTTAGGTGTTGACTGCACATATAGCTCATCTTCATCCTCATCTTCCTCATCATCATCATCACGATCACCGGCACCAAGCCAGTTGCTTGGATGATGCTGCGAAGTAGGATTTCCATTGAGATCTCTGCCTGCAAAGACGTACATCAATGTCATTAGCCCGTCAATGCTTGCATAAGAGATTCATGCGTCACAACAAAAATATGTTTCTTGTTAAATTCACCATGTAGTTCAACCGAATTAGGTGCTTCGGCCTGCTGTCTGTGGTACGAAGTCAAGGAAATTTCTCATAGCAGTCCCAGAATGGAGCTGTTATCAATTAGTTCAAGAATCTCTTTCCAGGAAAAAAATCAAAAAACTGCAGAAATAATTGCTGGTGAAAATAACTAGGGCAACGATTTAATGTCATCAATTACATGACCACGACTACTATTTTCATAGTGGGCCTCATTACTGTTCTAAGACAGAAAATACTAAATTTAAAGGAAGATTTACATACATACCACTCAAATTTTATACATGAAAAGTTGTACTTTTACATACATACCACTCAATGCCAAAGATTTGCGTGGTTTCACATATCAAACATTTGCGTGGTATTACATATCAAACATCTAAACTACAATCTTTACAAAGTTGTATTTTACATTTTCATAGTTATAATAAGGGTATTATTTATGTGATGAAAAATTTCTGTAGTAGATATGTAAAAAAGCAAAATTTAGGTGTTAGATTCATAAATACATAGGAAATAGGTGCATATATGTAAATGCCCTTAGGTGATAGATGAACGTATGACATTTGACATAAAGACAATTAGCACATAACAAATGCTAAAAATAAAAGCTAAAAACAAGGATTCAAAAATGATTGCATGGCTAGACTCAAGAACGGGCAAAGATGACCGCCGTCAAATGCCCATAAAATTCACAATGTAAGTGTTTTTTATTTTCTCTTTTTTCTTTTTCCTTTTTTCACAACAGTAGTGTTCCAGCAAAAGAAGAAAAACTAATTCTACCATGGCACTCCTTGATTATATTTAATTTGCTTCTGTAGATGGAACTCTGATTATTTTTGGATCCAAGCATATCTATGGGCAATACCTGAGCTGTACTAGCAGATTTTGTAAGATCGAAGCAACGGAGAGGACAACAGTAGAGAGAAAAAAAGAGGGAGAAATGAGAGATCTAGAGAGAAGATCGAAGCAACGGAGAGGACAACAGTAGAGAGACAAAAAGAGGGAGAAATGAGAGATCTAGAGAGAGTTCTAAATATTATATTTGCTCTAGTAAAAAATACAGAATATGCAGATGCTCTTTTTTATGCCTTTTACCCACATATTTATAATTTTTAAGAGGCTACAAGAAAAACAATACGAGAAAAAAATAAATAAATATACAAACACACCTTTTAATACGTAGCGTAGATATTGTCTTCAAGGGTCAAAATTGCTACACGAAGAAGCACAAAGGTGGGGTGAGTCCGCAGATCCCCAACAAATCCATTTGCCTTTGGGCAAATTATCTCTAGACTGGAGTCGGCATGATTGAGCTTGGTGAGTTTGGAAGTGCTAAGAGGTACATTCAGATCAAGGGAGAGCCTCCAAGCCTCAAGAATGTCTGACTAAACCTAAGAGTGCCTCTTAAGTCATGGGCAAGGGTTTCATCATATCTTTTCATTCAGATGAACTCATATGTCAGGTATAAATTTAATTCCCCAATTATTTTTTCATCTTTTGATGACTTCAATGACAAAAAAAATCAAGAGAATTAGGTAAACTACTTAATATCACAGTACCAAAAAATTAATTTTACCGCTTAAATTTATTTGGATATACTAGAGTTGTTACTTGTGTTCGAACTGAAAGAGGATTGATCAAATATTTTCCTATTTCTGTTGGATTACATCAAGGATCGGCTTTAAGCCCATATCTTTTTTGTTTTAGGGCCCGTTTGGGACAGCTTAAAAGTGCGGGCAACATTTTAAAAACATCGTTGTCTCGTTTGGTTAGCACTTATTGACTGATCATCCAAAACGCGATTTATATTTTTGTGAAAAACGCGAACCACGGGACGACCCCTGCGGTCCGCATTTTGCGAAACAAATTTTACGAATCCGCCCTCAACATCATTCACTCCTGTGACACTGCCCTCTGACGCCTCCGCTCTCGAATCCTTCGCAATACTCATGCCCTAAGCGCTCCTCTACGATCTGGTTCGTTTGCCCTCTTCTTCTTCGGCATCTTCACTCTTTCGCCATCTTCTTCTTCGGCATTTCGCTCTACATATATATCTTCCCTAGCAAGTCTCGTCTTCCATGTTCGTCGTTTGTAGTCGTTTGGGTTTGATATGTTTATTTTGATCTTTTTGATGTGAAAAGCAGTTTCATCTTTCTTCCATGAAAGTCATTTGCAGTAGTATGACATTTTATTTAGAGGATTTTTTTTTTTTTTTTTTTTCGGGTGAGCGGGTGAGATATTTGATGGATCTGATGATGGATCTGAACACCTGAGGTGTCAAATTAGTGGATCCAACTAATTGCTTCTGGAAATTGGGTGGTTTTGCTCATTTTGCGGTATGTTTGTCATGAGAAGATTTTTTTATTTCCGCTACGATCCAATGGTTTTGTTCATTTTGCGGTATGGTTGTGGCCATGCGAAAATTAGTATGGTTATGGCTTATCTATAAAAATTCACATATTTTTAATTTCCGCTTCTGCTTGTATTCTTTCACTCGATCCTTATCTAATCAAGCTAAATTCGACAATAAAAATTTTGGATTCAACTCTGCACTCTGCACTCGAGTCTAAATTCGACAATAAGAAATTTTTGTACACATGTTTTTCGTAATCTTAAAGATTTAGGGAATTAAAATGTGTTAAAAAAAGGTTTCTAATTGTGTTATACCAATGTATAGACAAAGGATTTTGCTGGTACTTATAATAAGTTCTCCTTTATTGGTTTTTTGATGTCATGACGGAAATATGGAGCCAAGAGGATTTTTTGTTTACCTATGAATTCCAAAGACTGGGCATGCTTAATGCGGCTTTGATGAGAAGATTGTTTTCTCTTTTCCTATAAACGGAGAACATCTTTTCTTAATGTTTCATGAATATTGTTTTCATTAACATGTCTACCACATAAATTATTTATCCTTCAGTTGGGACATTTCTTGCTATGAAAAGAAATATTATGCTCTTATCCGTTAATCTGACAAAACTCAACGAGTAAAGTTAAAGAGGCTAGATTATCGGTCATGTGGGATAGAAGAGAACTATTATATTTTATGATCTATGTTTGAGGGAGGTCGAGGTGGGAAATAAACTCACAACGTATTTTAACAAAGAAGAATGACAAAATATTATAGTTAAATTCAAGGAACTGACCGGAAGAGATTATGATTGGATGAAATTGAAGAACAAGTGGAATCAATTAAAAAAAATTGAAAAATATGGAAAGAACTGAAAAGATGATCAACAGGAATGGGTTGGGATCCAATAAAGCGCACAATAAATGCACCAGAGGATTGGTGGGCTAAAGAAATTACAGGTACATAAATATCTAATATTATTTTATCTTGCATCAAATTTTGCATTGAGTTGAAACGATTTTATTAATAAAAATTTGTTATCTATATCAGGCAGTGTCGTCAGCCAAAAAATTTAAATTCATTGGCATTGATCCAGTTCTGGAGGAGAAACTGAATGGCATGTTCACTGTAGTTGTCGCAATAGGAACTCATGCGTTCACCTAAAATGATCTAGGGTTTGGCAGCTCAGCACATGATATGGAGACCGTGCAGATAGGTGAGTCAGGAGAAGGTCTCAGTCATGTCCACACAGATGTTCAATCCACTAGTGTGCCAAAGCGTCCCAGGGTAGAAAAGAAGAACAAAGAGGTTGCTTGCATCAAAGGCACCATTGAAACACTGGTTGAAACATGTAAAACAAGGTCTTCTCCCTTGCAGGACAACTCAATTGAGGATTGTCTTCAAGTCCTCAATACATATTTTGATGTTAAGACGGACGATGACGACTATATAATATATGTGAAGGTATTACAAGACCCAACCATAAGACAGTTTTTTTATGAAGTTGGAACCGCAATACCGAGTCAAATACTTGTGCTCTTTTATGGATGACAAGTACATAAATATCTAATATTATTTTATCTTGCATCAAATTTTGCATTGAGTTGAAACGATTTTATTAATAAAAATTTGTTATCTATATCAGGCAGTGTCGTCAGCCAAAAAATTTAAATTCATTGGCATTGATCCAGTTATGGAGGAGAAACTGGATGACATGTTCACTGTGGTTGTCGCAACAGGAACTCATGCGTTCACCTCAAATGATCTAGAGTTTGGCAGCTCAGCACATGATATGGAGACCGTGCAGATAGGTGAGTCAGGAGGTCTCAGTCATGTCCACATAGATGTTCAATTCACTAATGTGCCAAAGCGTCCCAGGGTAGAAAAGAAGAACAAAGGGGTTGCTTTCATCAAAGGCACCATTGAAACACTGGTTGAAAATGCAAAACAAGGTCTTCTCCCTTGCAGGACAGCTCAATTGAGGATTGTCTTCAAGTCCTCAATACATATTTTGATGTTAAGGCAGACAATGACGACTATATAAAATACGTGAAGGTATTACAAGACCCAACCATAAGACAGTTTTTTATGAAGTTGGAACTGCAATACTGAGTCAAATACTTGTGCTCTTTTATGGATGACTGAATGTTTAAGTTATTGTATTTTATTTCCTATAGCTCTGTTCTATGTTTCTATAATGGACACTTCATTTCTCCATGGTGGGATTGTTTTTAATTTAGCTTGTATTATGCACAAATTTTATTTTACGCTAGTATCTTCTATATTTTGCCCAAATTTCAATTGTGTAATTTTCATTTTTCCTAGCTAAGTTTTTTTTTTTATTATTATTACTTAAGTTTATAAATTTTTCTTGTATTAATTTTGTAGTATAGATGAAGAAGTCAAACACATATGCACAGTTGCACTTATCATTACCTTGTTGTACTATGACTATCTTAAACGCGTCGACCGAAACGCATGTATGACGTCGAGTCAAATTGGAGATAGATGGGTGGGTGAGTTATTATGGGGTCATCCCACGCAATTTTTCAATATGTTCCGTATGACGAAACAAATATTTCTTGATCTGCTTAATAAACTTCGGAGCCTTCATGGGTTACACGGCCAAGAGAAGTGCTTGCAATAACTCTGTAAATCTTATCTTAGAATGAA